GCTTAAACCCAGTACCTAAAACTTCAAACGCCGAAGCTTAATCCACTGGGGTATAAGAGTTACCTCTTATGCTTGATGCTTGAAGTCTGCCGTCGAATCACCAGCATCGACTGAACGAATACAGTAAACAGCATTCTCAAATGTAACTGATAATTTGTAATAAAATACTTTTGTAAATTTTGACATGTGAATGTGAAAAGCACATATAACAAGCACAGTGTGCGCACTGATAGTTTACAAAAGACCCACATTGTGTCAATTTGACCTCATAGCCAACAAAGGACATAGAAACTATCTATCCTTCAGTAATGCATTACCGATATCAGCTATCACACATGTGTATGTGTGTGTCAATTTATGCGCATACAGGTATCTAGACGATGCTGGTGCTTTTTCAGGGTGCACATCTGTAACCGGTGTATTGTGAACATGTCTACAAACGTGATAAAGTATTTTCTTTTCACTAGTGATACACATAGCAGCTGATGACTCACCAAGAGTTATGTTTTATGTACACCTCCACACACACACACGCAAATACATCAATGTTAAGAATGACAATGGTAACGAAGAGAACAGAAATGAATTATGTTCTACTTTCACTATCACCAGACCTCAGTTAAAAAAGTAGAAATATTTTATTCTAAAATGGAATTTTTCACATTCATCACAGGCAGACACTAAGAGACTGACTATTTTAAAAACTCAGTGAAGAAAATCTCTATTCATGTGCTTATATATCAAAAAGATGAATATTGTGTTGCAATCTGATAGGAGTTGACAAAAAACGCACAATGTAAAAAACGATGATGCAGTTAATAGATGATGTTTCGTCTTATTCCAAGGGTCTTCAGCAGAAGATACGTCTTGGCTTCCTTCTGATTGTAATATTTTCCCCCAGTACTGACAGATCCCATTAGTTGCTTAAACTTGAGGTGGTCTGCACTAACACGGACATACCATTAATGTTCTCAACTTTAAACAGATGAAACAACCTTTCAGTGTTTAGATACTCCTGATTTGGTTAGGAAACGCAAGTAAGGGTTACCAAATAGTTGACCTGCACCAAACTATCGGTAGGTTGAATTTAGAAGTTTGTGGGGATTGATTAATTTCGATTGACATCAGCTGGAGAAACATTCAAGATCTTGGAGCACTGAACAGGGCACACCAGGGGTCGTACCCAAAACCTTCAGGTTCCGCAGCAAACACCCTGTCACTGAGCTAGTGAGTCGAAATCCTACGGTCTATATTTACCTACTTCTGTAAATTCGCGATACAGTGCGATCTCTATCCAATCCCATCATTGAGTATTTCTCCTCAAGTGCAACTTAGTTTGGACAATTTTGAGCAGTATTAGTTGCTGTCAATTGGCCAATTCACGTAAAATGCCCTCATAAAAATTATCAATAAAGCTATCTGAAATAGCCATGGCTTGGCATGCTCATGTTATTTATACTACGTTATGATCAAAGGTGGAATGAAAACTACACCAGAGTTGTATCAGCTGAGCAGCAACGCCTAGAAGTCCAGAGGTGACCTAGATTTGCTTTTCACCTTCAGTCATCATCCAATTTCAGTAAGTTCCCCAGTAGTTCGTACATTTCTTAATTTAACAGCCTCATAGCTAGATAGGAAGGACTTATTCAGCTATATTTTTGACCATCTGCAAGATACTTTGAGACTTTTCGTACCTATGTTTATTCCAATGAGAAGAGACTGTCTTTTTAATGAAACTTTTATAACTTGCCTAGAAATTGCTTTAACTGCCTTGCACTGTTAGAGTGATCGAAACCTAACCAATTCGTGATCTCGTAACATTGCGTAATGATGAATACTTCTCCTCATCAGTGATGTATTTCATTTTAGATGAAAGTGTGTGACTATGAATTAAATAGTGAGTAAAAGTGAAAATTTATCTACTCCCATTGAGATTGCTTGAGATGACCAGTAATAAAAGAATTACCGATCTTCATGGAATCCTTGAAATAAGAGAACCTTTTTGACATGCCCCACTCCAACATACATGAAAGGTAAAGCAAAAGAAGTTGGAAGATTTGGGCTGTTATACTTCAACCCAACAATTGGGTGGTAGCCGACTTACCGAGGGGACTGATGGTTGGATCCTGCATGAGGTCATGAGTACACATTGATGAATATCTTCAATTAGAAAACGAAACGGCTTTTCACTGCTCACTGGTTTTCAGTATTGTCTTGTCGGTCAATATGTTTAATCCAGACCTGCCACAGGTTAGCTACTACCTGAATACTTCGGTGGTAGCATCTTAATGATTTATGTTTGAAACCTCCAGAGGACATAAGTTCCGTCGACGTTGCAGACACGTCTTGCCGATGAGTACCGATAGGCACGAAACCCAGGTCCATTGCCTCCTCCTGATTGCCTCCAAACAACTAACATCAAATTTTGTCTAATTTATTATTTATACTGGGTGATGATTGAAAGTGAAATGAAAATCTGGACCACAGCAGCATTCGAAAAGAGCTACCATGAGGTTTCTGGCCCCCTACTCTACGAAATGAACTAAAAGGCCTGAATCGTGATCGAATTTTTACTTCACTTCAGTCATCAAGGGTTTCACTGGATTACCATGTGAATTCATGATACGTTACTACAGCTTGATGATACTCACACTGGCTACCCAGTCAGGACTTCTCATACTAATCTAAATCTAACTGTATTAGAGAGGACAAACATCATGTTGATTATCACTTTGACTATGTGAGATAGCTGACCAATCAATAGTATATAGCCGCAATACAAATGTTCTAAATCACCGCTATCTCACATAGTCAAAGTGATAATCAACATGATGCTTGTCCTCTCTAATACAGTTAGATTTAGATTAGTATGAGAAGTCCTGACTGGGTAGCCAGTCTGACTACCATCAAGCTGTAGTAACGCATCATGAATTCACATGGTAATCCAGTGAAACCCTTGATGACTGAAGTGAAGTAAAAATTCGATCACGATTCAGGCCTTTTAGTTCATTTCGTAGAGTAGGGGGCCAGAAACCTCATGGTAGCTCTTTTCGAATGCTGCTGTGGTCCAGATTTTCATTTCACTTTCAATCATCACTCAGTATAAATACTAGTCTGCCAAACCACGGCTATGATAATTTATTGTTAAAAGTGTATTCATTATAATCGATAAAGCGAAACAACAGTTTTTTATTGCTGATGAAAAGTACTTCATAGAATAGCACTTTTGTTATAATTATTTATAATTTTGATATTTAATCAATACTTTGGAACTTTTCTGTTATTCTGAAATATATCCATTATGGAAAATATTTTTATAGATGTTAAACGTGAATTTACATCACAAATCAGAGACTGTAGGATTGGCGTGATGTCAAACCTGTCACCTCGAGAACACAAAGACATATAAACACACACGCACACGTGTATAAATATACAGAAGTTTTGTCCACACATGTACAAACACATCTATAAGCAAACGTACAAAGGTCAGAAGTGTTTTCTAATTTATCGATTCATTTTGAAGAGGGGGGGGGTGTAGTTCGACTGTTATCCTAACCCAATCAATACATTGACTCATTCATTGTCATTCCACAAGGAACGTGGACGAAAAAACAAACACACTTGATAAGTTAATCGATAGTTGGATGAAAAATAACTACATTTTTATGACACACAAAGCATTCCGTACTGGTTAGACCAGGTCTTTGTCTCATCATAATGTAAGCATTTAAAGTTTGAAAATTATTCCGAGTTGTTCTTATTCTTGCTACATCAGTATGTTTCTATCAGGGTCTTCACTTCATATTCTGAGGACCTTCAAAATACATTTTTATCGATGCGTGTGGCAACAGAAATACCGACTGCATGACCCTAATACACCTCCAGGAAGAGAAATCAATCATATACGAGTTATGTTCACATAAAGAATCGATATGAGTAACCAGAATGGTAGTCTCGTTTTTATAATACCTAGACTACAGTTGATGTTAAGAGACAGATGGACAGTCGCATGATAACAAAAAAAGCCGAAATCCATTCGGCAGTCACGTGCATGGTCGTACAGTAGGCACTGTCATCCCTCTTGTATTAAAGTTAATGATACTACCTGCAGAAGAACTCAAACTTGTCAACCACTATAACTGGAAATCGATTGGATAGACCGAAAAGGCACATCTCCACACGATACCAGCTATAGAGGAAATGAACTAGTTGTACAACAGTCAAGAATAATCACTCTTTCAAAGGATTTAAGTGTTATCATTTGTGATCAGTCAGGACCCACATGAGAATAAGAAAAGGATTAGAGAAGGGATTCAAGGCTGTTAGGCGGTGTGTCTAGAGTGGTAAAGACCAAGAACAACAGCATGGCAATCTCAGTTATCCATCATTTGTCCAATAAAGTTGAAAGTAGTGTATATGGGAGCAACATGTTGTGCTTTTGGAGGCAACTATAACTCAATGGCTTGACCACTTGACATTCATACAGTGTCTCCCTTGGCTTAAATCTTGTTCCACCTACTTTAGCCTGTACAATCAGGTAGTATCATTAACCTTGACACAATAAATGTGACCTATAACCTTGCATATATAAACCTATATCGGATTGAGTTGTATTATTGATTAGTAATTGATTATTGTCAACTGGTAATCGAGTATAATCCAGGCAAACTTTTCAACTTAGTGTAAGTGAATGCCAATTTAGATTCTTATTTGCCTATTGAGGCATATAACCAACACTTATCCAGGTAAACAGTTCAAGAAGGAATCAAATCTGTACAGCGGGATACTTAAAGATTGTTGCACTAGATAGAATAGATGAGCTGGAGTTGTTTAAATTAACCACCTGCCCATCGACTACATGATCAAGAGCTCAAGCACCTTTTAATCGAAAATCAGATCAGATTACTACCCCTCACTAACAAAAATAAAATTTGTAGCAGAGTATACGAAAGAGTATGTGTTCCAAAAACTATTATGCTTAAATTGTTCCAACTTACTAATTCGTCTAAAGATCGAAAGTCAATAGCTGGACGTTGAATTTCTTGTTTCGATTTCTTATCCTCTTGTGTATCTTTAATATTCTTTTGATTCATGTTCAGCGGTTGATTCATTCTAGTTTTTGATACATGTCTATTTTGTTGTTGCCGACGTAATTCTGTTGATCGATTGGATCGATAATAAGAAGGCTGACAGTTGTTATTGGTATTATTTTCAACAGTCAAGTTGTTATTGCTGTCATGGTTGTGTGCATCCTGTTGGTAAATGTTTATTGATCGATTATTTCGATTGTGATTATCATCTCCGTTTGCCTTTTGATCATATTTTATATCGGATAAACAGTCAGTCGGTCGATGGGAGTATGCGTCTAACAATTCAGGGGATAATAAATTATTTTTATCCCACTCTAGGGGGGATAGATTCTCTCTAGCCATTTGTTCATCAATTTCTACTTCTAACTGAACAATCTCAGGGATAGACATACCCACATTGCCTCCGAGACGAGCTAACTCCAGCAGGCAGACAACAACATTACGCAGATTCTTTTTGCAAACTAAGTCCTCACTTTCAAATAGAGTGGAATTACGCATACCAAGATGACGACACCAACGAATAAAATTGGAGACGTTATCACGTGAAACAAAACTCATTGCAGCATTTGATGAATACAATCCACGTGTTTGGTAGACCGGGCTGGATGTTGGCAGCATGGCTTGAACACCACTGATACGCAGACCATTCAGCTTAGTAGGTTTGCCGCTTTGAATGATATTTCTTGACTCTGAGGCTAAGCGATTATGCAGCTGTGTGGCATGATGGCATAATAGTACACCATCAGATAGACGATCGAAAAAATTATCTGAATTCAAACCGGCAACCATATGCGGATACATTCTCGTGAACCAGTCAACTAAGTCTTCAACCATAACCAATAGTAATTCATCTTTATGGCTAAAACTTGCTGTATTCGAGTCCTCAGATGCAGTATTACCAGAATTAAAGACAGAAAATGAGGAATCAGCTAGTTTACGGTTACCATATGGAGTACGAGCATATCCACTATCCTCGTCAGTATTTAAGCTACTTAAACTCGGTGATAATCCCATAAATTGACGAGTAATAATATCGAAATTGTTCAGCGTCTCCTGAAGCATTTGTTCGCTGTCAGTAGGATCTTGTTTGTCATCCCAGTCGAATGAACAGTTACTGGAATGTGTGGTTTTTACATGACGCTGCCCTCCGCCCATATTTACACAGGCAGTCTTATTAAGTGGAAATGTAACTTTTGTAGTATGTTGCTGTGCATTTACAATTTTTAATGGGATAGATTCTGTTTTGGCTTGAATACTTTCTGGAGGTGGTAAAGAGAAAGCTCGTGTATTGTTCCCGTTTACTCGGCTCATGCCCACGTTCATTCAAACTTAATAAATTAGTAGTAATGTGAATAATTTGTAACTAATCCAAGTTTTTCACATTTCAATTTTTAAATTTTCCAAGATATATTATAAAGAAAAGTAACTGAAGTGCAAAAATCCACGAGTCAGTGCTACACAGGAAAACACGTGCATTCTGCTCTTCTGTTTTCGTTTTTATAATATCGTATTTACCTTTTGTAGGCAACCTGATGCACCAATTCGGCTTAATAATTGACATTATCTACCAATCACATTACACCTTGTTCACATCATTCACCCACTCAGCTATCTTCCAACATTTTATTGGTCACAAATGTATCCAATCAGAAAGCTGTTTATTAAGGTCAGTCAGAATGAGAGATTCAAACTGAAATCCACTGAAAAAATATGAAGTACCTTTCTAGTGATGGTGAAAAATTACCATGAGACGAAATCTACGAAAAGAAGAAAACATTTATTCTGACTATGCAGTACAAGGAGCAATGAATAATATTGATTTTTCAAGCATATAAAAGTATGTGGCTTTTACGCAAAAGCAGCATCACGGAACTTTGCCTGTAACCTATGGAAAAAGACGGAATATCATGTTCTTTTCCATTATCTGTATCAAGAATCATAATATTTACTTGATCTTTTGGAATCTGGATAACACAAAACTTAAATGCTACATGATATCAGCCCCCATCATCTGCTGTAGCAGATGATAAATATTTTAAGGTGTTTATAATTGGGAATATTTGAGATAGCCGTGGTTTATCAGACTTATAGTACTAATATAGAGTAGTGGTAACCGGGTGAAGTCCTCTTTTATTGGAAGAAGGTAACACTTGATCAGTAGCCGAGTCCCATATCTCAGCTAGTAGAGTACCAGTAACCTAAAGGTCATTAATCCGAATTCATCGGCTACCAAGGTTTCCGTTTAGCATTCACTCATCAGTCCTAAATAAGGTTAGTTTACCCCCTTCTAAGGCTAGATCAAATAAAGAGACTGGCTATCAAATAGCATTCGGCATAGAGGATACCCAACCAACCAACAACATGCTTCAATCCCCATCAACGGGAGAAACTTAAAGGAAGTAGCCTCTTTCACTCATCTAGGCAGCATTGTTTCAACTACAGGTGGCACAGACGAGGACGTCAAAGCCAGCCAGGATCGGAAAAGCAAGACTGGCGTTCATTAACCTGAAACCAGTGTGGAGATCCACTTCACTGCACTCAGCATATAGCGTGAACAAGATCCGAATTTTCAACACCAATCCAGTCAAGTCAGTGCTTCTATATGGTTCAGAGACTTGGCGCGTTAAGAAAGGGATTTTCAACAAACCACAGACATTCATCAACAAATGCCTACGCTGGCTCGTTACTAAAGCTCAGACGGCCAGAAAGAATAAGCAACAAGGAACTCTGTCTGTCTGTCTGGCTGGCTGACTGACTGACTGACTGACTGACTGACTGACTGACTGACTGACTGGCTGGCTGGCTGGCTGGCTGGCAACGAACCAACGAAGCAACAACCAACCCATCACCCAACAAATATGCAGGAGACGAAAGTGGAGTTCTGTTGGGTTGGGTTGGGCATTCAGTGAGAAGGCCGATTGGGGACATCACATACCAGGCCAAACCGTTGAGTGGAATCTAAATGGGAAACGACGAGTTGGGTGTCCGAGGTGAGGGTGACATGGAGGAGATCGTGTGAGGAAGAAATGAGAGCTTGTGGGCAGTCGTGGAACCAGGTTCGGAAGATTGGAGAGAAAAGAGTGTAGTGGAGACGTGCTACTGAGGCCCTATGCTCCATCAGGAACCCAAGGGACAAACAATAATAATAATAGAGGATTTCACAATTACAATGGTTACCATTTAGTGACTGGTTTATGTACAGTCCAGAGCAATTCACTAAGGAATATCGAAAGTGCGTTAACTGAATGAATTCCAGAGTTGTGTTAGATATCTAACTGAAGTGTTGAATAAACAAATCATTCAGTTGATAATTTGGAGGCATCGCCTAATTTTAAAGTAGTTTTCATGATAAACTGGTATCATTTAAAGTACACTTGGTATCTTATTATACTGTACGTTCATTTCAGTGAGTTCGCTGCTGATTGGAACTGTTTGGAACCAGAAACAATTAGGCACTGGATATATGAGGAAACTTTATAAGATTCTTCTTTTGTTGTCCACATAATCCCAAATTTGTAGGTTTACTTTCCACTATATTAGGTGGTGATAATTTAAGGTATGAGTATTCTGAAGTAGTGTTCATCATGAGTCTACATCAGTTAGGGAACAATCGAAGACTGGTGAGCACTGTATGGCTATCTAGCTCTAATTTAGTAATCTTCAGTTATGTGTACTCATGGTCCTATGAGGAATCGAGTGTAGGGCCTTAGGATAACACAGTAAGTAGGTTAAAACCAGACTACATGATTGGAATCTGATGGTTCTGGCGTCGATCCCACATGCGGTTGTCGGTGTGTACAGCTGATGAGTCTCTGTCTAAGACAAAACAGCTTTCCAATGCTCTGAGGTTTTCTGTGGTCCTCTCACTGATGTCAGTCCGTGGTGAAAGTTACTTTGAAATTGACTTGTACCAGCATGTAAAATCTGCTACACAATATGATGCATATTATTTACTTTCGTGTTATCCAACTAAGGACTTAAAGTTCTCCTCAGTTTAGTACTTGTAAGGCAAAAGGTCCTGTCTGCATAACGTATCCATCCTGACTAACTGAAAGCTTGAAAGGAAGAACATTTGAAAGGGAAACAAATAGAACCGATGACAGAGTTATAACTTTGCATCTTATCTACTGAATACTGGTCAACAAACTGTCTAACGAATGCGATTAACTGACAGGTAGTTGTGAAATGAAAAGCACTGATTTATCACGCTTGAACAATCAATGACTAAGTCAAAGGTTAAAATGTTAACAAATGGAATTTTGCTAACTAATTTAGTCATAGCACTCATATGCAGACACCCGTAAGCAAAGGTCAAAAGAAGATTACGTAACCGCAAACAAATTTAATTAACTGAATGCTAAAGGTCACGTCAAACAGTTTTCACTGATAAAATCGAAAACGATTAGGTTAAAAAGAAGTTTTTAGTTTGTATCCATCACCGATGGACATGAGATAGAGAACCATTGAAAACCTAGAAGCACTAAATAGCTGCATCCTTCTAGTATGAGACTTCTTAGTAGTATACACCCATGACCCCGATAGGGATGGAATCCAGGACCTTCAGTTTTCGTAGACACCCTGTTACCGTTGATTCATGGGTGATGGACATTTAAATTCTAACAAGCAGCTAGCTACAGTAATTTTAACTGACACTGAGCACCCACTTCATTCACAGCTCTTTCTTCTTATCTCCTCAGGGAGGAAGGACAAGAAGAAACTACATAAGACTGTACGCTGGTACAACTAAATATAAGAATTCGACTGTACCTTATCTAGTACGCATGTTACGTGAGGAAAAAAGTGTTAGAATATAACTCAGTTGGGCCAGAGACACAGTAATCACCCCATTGACGGCTTTCAAAGCCCTACGCAATATAACATAGTCCTTTCTTAGTAGACCAGGAAAGATCAAAGAGGAATAATAGGGAAGTACAGGTGAATGCAGGAATTAACAAATTGCATAAGTAGACGTTGAGTTATACCAGAAACTCTCAGTTTCTTTGTGTAATATGTTAAAAGAAAGGTATTTTTACAAGTCAACAAGATATGAGACGACCAACAAAGATCAGAAGGAAAACTCAATCCAAGATAGTTAACACTCGATTCAATTTCTGTAAAAATACCATCAATGCAACAACAGTCATGGACTTAAGCAGCCCACATAAGTCTTGTTTACGCCTGAGGCTAAAATTAACAGTGTGACACTTAGACGGGTTTAACTTGAGACCATTTGAGAAAGACCATTGGTCAACTGCAGACAAGAATCCATTTACTTCAGAGCAATCTAATTGAGAGTTGACTGGAATAGACACCGTCAGGTCATCAGCATACTGAATAAAATTAGTTCCAAATGAATAAGTCGGTTACTTAAACAATGTGCAAAAAGGAAGAAAACAGAAAAGGAGAAAGTAAAGCACCCTGACACTGCAAGAGCCATGGAAAGCTTATTTAACAAGAGTGGTCTAGGAACAGAGTCAAAGGTCGATGACTATTTGAACAAGACAACGAACACACTCAGCACCATTGTCTAGACTGGAAACAATATTATGATGCAAGAATGACAGCATCCAACGTGCGTCTCCTGTGTTCGTAAGCAAATTGTTTTGGATCTCTAAACACCATCAGTGAAGGCTCAATCACAAGGAGAAATGATTTGTCCATTGTCTTCAAGAAAGGGGAAGTTGTAGTAATGGGTCGAATCTTAACATCTGATCCAGAAGATGACTTAGGTACAGGCACAACTTTGATCTCCTTCCAAGCAGCAGGTACTGTGTTATTAGAAAGCAATGCATTGTAGGTATCTGTAAGGGGATGACGTAAAATATCTGCACATTTTCTAAATATAGTGCTTAAAATACTATCAGAACCTAAGCTTTAAGATGGATTCAAGGACTTAAGATGTTTACAACCAGGGAAGCAGTTATCTATTTGACTATAGACATTTGGGAAGGATGAAATCAGCTTACCGACGTATGAATGACTTGCTTAACGCGCAGACATCTGAATGAACTTCTTTTGTGATCTGTTTTCTAACAGTAAGTTGTTTGAGTAATTCCCATATATTGGAAGAGTTCTTACATGATAGAAACTAACTTATTGTTGTAAGTAGTATTCAAACGTTGTATTTCAGGCTTAATTAGTCAGTTAAGTCTTTTAACGCCAGGATGATCTCTCGTCTTGTAAAACCTTTCCTTTTCTCTCCGGAGCCTCTTGAGATGAGGAGAGGAAGATTTGTCGAACCTCATGTAGGTTGTTTCAGCAGGGTAGCATATGTCGAGATATAAAATCAGTTAACTTGTGATACTGGTGATAATGTTATCTAAAACTTCATCAACAAATATACCCCAGTTTCTTTAAGCATGGTTCTCAAACGTGGTATACTCTCTTGTGAATAGCTTATGTACTGGAGATTGTTGGAAAGATATCCGAAAGCCTTTTTGTGTAATTTGTCGTACATTTTAGGCAGAACACGTACAATACAGTGGTCAGGATTTAGCAGCGGATTCCGTTTACGGGCTTCATATATGTCAGGTTCGTTT